CTAAACCTTGCTCCAGAATAAGCCAAGTATAAAATTGGCAACACTGTAATGAGTCGTTTTTGCATGGGGTGAGCGGAGCCGTTTTTTGTTCAGGATCATTTGCCGTGCACAAGTCAGCGTGGTCGGTAAGGGGTCATCGGAAAGCTCAAGCTGTGCAAAGACCTCTGCGAAAGGCTTAAAACAAGCCTCAGGTAACCTCTGCAGTTCTTGGGTCCGCCAACCATCGAATCCTGGAGCTGCTTGTGGCTTGCGAGCTTGGACGGTTAGCCAAATTCAAAGCTCATGTGCGTCGATGGGAGGACACTCAAATTGCTGGGTGTGGTCTTTGATATAGGGCCAAATGACCTCCAACATTTTTAATGGGTGCTCAGCATTTATGTTACAGGCAAACACTTCGTCCCAAGCATTATTGAATGTATCAATGGCTTGAGCAGGGTCCACAATTATATTCCCTTGGGCGTCCTGCCGAAGATTGGCCGGCTCATCACATGCTCGGTTCCTGAGATGGCGAAAGATGAATGCGTTGCTGGCTTTGGCATCATCTCTGATTGTATTTTTCCATCTCTGAATCCGGTCAAGCTTCGTTCGAACATCATGATTACGTGCCAAGTCTCCAATCCAATTTAGATTAGACCAGACCTGAAGGACGGACGGGATGGAACCTTTCGTCCAAACAAGAGGTGACTTCAAACGTGTCAAGAGTTTATGGGCATTGCAACAGGTCCAAACCTGTGTATCCGCAAAGGAACCCTGGGGTCGAGACAAGCGAAAGAAAAGCTCCTGCAGAATTCGAAAGGTCTTGCATAAGCTGGCCATCTTTGATTTCGAAGCACCCCCAAAGGCCGACTGGCCTGGGCAAACTCTCTTGCTGCGGAATCTGGGAAGTTTACCCCTTTCTTTCAGACCATCACCCCATCTGCCCCCATTCTGCAACATGAACGAGATGCAAAAGTCATTGGCAATGGACCAACGAGCATCAGGATCGGCCATCTCATCATAGGCCTGTGCGAATTGGTCAGCCCACAACGCATCAGCATGTTCGTTCGTGAACAGAGCACAACCCTCGGTTGAGACATTGGAATCAAAAACGAAGGGGGCTGTCTTGTGATGCACAAATCCAGTCATGAAGATTTTCTGCCAATGACATTCGATTCTCAAAGGGCGGTGCTGTGTTTCAAACGATTCAATCGTTTCTGATTTAATGAGAGCAGAACAGGTGACGTGGTTGATCAAAATGGTATCAATACAAGAGCACCCTTCTTGGCCACTAAAGGAACGATCAGCCGAGAATGTGAGTTGTCTCTTTGGAAGGCCTTCAGCATCAAAGGAAACAAAAGGGTCTTCCCATTTAGCGAAGTGAATAGATTGGGCGACTGATGAGTACGATAACGGTTCCGCCTGGAAATCACCTGCATATAATGATTGGGATATCCCCGAATTGGGCCGAGATCTCAAAAATGGCTTCAAGAGTGGAGTCATTCCAGGAATGTGGGTCCGAGGTCCTGCTCCGAAGATGCACCTGTACGACCATAAAAGGACCAGAGTGAAATCCCAGGAGCCAGATGAAAATGTGAGCCTCTAGATTCGTGAGCTGGTACACCTGGCCCCAGATGTCGTACTCTGCCAGTGGGATTCTTTTATCCCAGGATGCATACTTGACTGGGTCGTTTTGCATTTCTGCAAAAGTCGCTGGGAATGCATCCGTAGGATCTGGCAGCTGGCTTCCGTTGTGCTGATCATCAGCGTAGATTCCGCTACAGCTGACAAATTTGAGGTAGCCAGCGTCGACGGCTGCTGAGGCGAAGTTCAACATCGGTTCGGCCACGGTTGACATCGTAGCACTTCCGAAGGCTTGGACGATCGCCGTCCAGTTGCTTGCGCTAATTTTCTTCGCCTCAGGGCTGGGCTGATATGTCATGCCGTACTTGACCAGATCGATTTCTGGCAACGTCAGGCCTCTCACAGCATTCGAAGGGATTTCTACTCCATTATAATGATTCCAGACCGATAGGTCGTAGAGGATGCTGAGAGTCGAGCTGATGTGGGTCTGATGTTGCTTCGACCTGGCGGTGAAGAGAGAGTTCGTCCGTGCATAGACAGGAATCCCCATGACGATGGCAGGAGCCACCTCACATTCCCGGCAATCGGACTCATATTCCTTCCGCCCACGATTGCGGTGAATGAGGAGTTCAGAAGACCTCCTGGTGTGGCTGGAGCCCCAGGGGATGTTGCCGTTGAACTCTTTCCACCTTTGCCCTTAGCCTTGCTGTCATAGCGAACCATCTGCATGCAAATACCCAGTAAAAGCCTGGTCTTTTACCTCCTTAAGTATTGGTTTTGTATGGCCATCTCCAGTACAATGAGGTCTTTGACTCGTAGGGCTATGATGTGATTCTTAGACCATTTCTTGATCCACATCCAGAACCTATGCGGTCAGCGGTGTCGAACCTACGGAGTGAAGAACCTTCCCGGAGCGCATTCGCATATGGTATGGTTGAAGTCCCTGGTGTCCAAACTTAAAGTGCACAAAACAGCCTCAGTTTGGAGTCGCAAAAGCTTCAAGGATCTAGACTTGGGTTCCCCCAAAAAACAACATTCTCCATCAGGAGACTGGCATTCCAAGTAATGAATATCCCCTTAATAAGTCATGACCCGTCAAAAGCTCCATCCAGTTTCGGTGCATACGGACCGACGATGAGCAGGACGACCTGCCTACATCATCCTGCATCCAAGGGGCTCTGCAGGTTGCTCCACGAGAATCCGACCCTTCCAAACGGGATAGTCACCTTAGTCAACGGCCAAGCCGAAGAGAAGAGTTTGCCCGTCTTCGGAGTTCCAGGCGTCTTGGAGTTCGCAACCGGTTCTTTTTCAAGCGTGTGTGGGCAAAAAAGGCAATACCTTAAGACTGGAGAATAGCTATGGCAATACATGCAGGCATATACTACGTACGTGACAGCAAAACACAGGCTGTTGGCAAACGAAACAACCGAAGAGTTGCATATGGAACTTTGGTTCCGCAAGAGTCCGTGACTTCTATGATCTCCGATTTCACTCACTCGTCTTGATTCTATGATGTTGGACCTCACTTAAGGATTCCATATTTCATCTCCCTTTATTTGACTCATATTGGAACACCATGACTCCTGCTGTGCCACCGCGTGTGCCAACGTGGCGGACATGCGGTTTCGGGCGCTCGGTTTGGTGGGAGATGTCGGGAGATGTGTGCTGCACTCCTCCACGGAAGGTTTGGTGTATTGAAACAGGGAGACTGACACCCAAGACACCCTGGAAGAAGGGAAGAGCGTGAAATAGTGAAACAAACAAAAACAAAAACATGCTTGGAGGTCTCCCTCACACCCAGATCCCGCCATGACCAACTTTCTTCTTCTCAGCTTCGCTCCCAGCCACTGGCGTCCAATTGGAGGCTCTTCTCCACGGTCCAGGAACCCAAGGCTTCACTGCTTCCACAGACCGCCACCAACTCCTCAGTGGACGCGGACGCGGCGTTCGGACGCGCGCGAGGCGCTTTTGGCGCGAGGCCGAGCGGCCGGTGGGAGGCCCAAGATGAAGAGGCGTGTTTTCTTTTGGTCTGCAATCGTCTGACTCGTAGGTTTGTTGTGCTGGAGATGAAGAGCTGACATGTTCCTTTTGTTTGAAAAGAGATCACAATGGAAAACTTGAAAAAAAAACAAAAACATTGTTTTACTGAGGATTTTGACTACGACACCAGGTCAACCTTTCTTTAATAGTCTTTGAAGGGTGGGGTATGTGCAGTAAGCAGTAACATCAACGATGCCCTCTAGGGATGATGGTGGTAATATACAAATCTCGTAAGCAATCTGCTTTTGGCATTGATCTCCCTCAACTATTACCGACCCTGATCAGTGTCAATTGTCTTCAAATAGTCTTGTGCCTTTCCCCACATGAACGATAATATGATAAGTATACCTATGGAACCCATTTGACCTCTATATTTTGTGGTATGAAAAGTACAGTAATCCATTCTGGATAATTGATCCTCCCAGAAGAGGGGTCACTCAGGTATATGTTTAGCGGCAGCCGCCGTGTGAACATACAAACAATACAAAGCAACCCTGGCGTTCGATGCGAACGGTGATTTGACCAATGCATTCAATGGTGTGACCGTGCGAAGCCGTCGGGTGCAACGAGACCACACTTTCACCGTCGTGAGTGAGCGACACCAAGTGTTGCTCCTCCCTGTAGCCACTGCTTGTGGCTGTCGTTTTTGACAGAACATGCAAGTCCTGTCGTTTGCAGAAAAGGTTCTAGTTGACTCGGAAAGACCTCTGTTGATTCCATCAGAATCGCAGCAAACAGTTAACCATCAAAAGGACAGTGATAAGGAAAACACCACAGAATGAGACTCGGCTTTCTTGAATATTGCAAACCTGTTGTGATGCTCTGCCATGCTCTGCTATCAACAAACGCAACCCCCTTGGTCACCCTAAGATATTTCCTTAGGTTCAATTGCTCAAAAAGAACACATCGATATAAAGCTTCTAAGGATACCACATATTTCACTGCCGCTAATTCAAGTGGTGGTGCAAATGGGAAGTGATCTAGACCACTCATTGTTTTTTCAAAAGAAAAATCAAGAACAAGAACAATCAGTTACAATAATATTTGTTGAAACCACAATAACATTCAACAATCGTTTAACATCTTTTAGAATATTCAGAAACCGTTTAAAATCATCAGACAACTTTTAAAATCGGCAAACAAATTTGAAACGGTGCAAAATATTTAAACGTCGTGAATCGTAAACGCATATCAACACATCTCAGAACAACCGGGTTAACTTGGAAAGGGTTTGGAATTACAAAATCGTTTGCCAGACTGAAAATCTCAAAATACATCTAAAAATCCAATCCATCTGAAAAAAAATATCACAAGTGCATAAAACATGCAAAACCTTTAGAAAAAACTTGAAACATGCAAACTAAATGCAAACAAATGCAAATGCATAGGAAAATCGTCACGCAGTGAACGTCGCACTGACATGACATGACATTGAAGAGTCTTCTGCAGGCTTGAAAGAGGTCTCAAAGATTGGGGAAGTGAACCGCGAATTCGCTTTCAGGGTCCGGGTTGAAATCCCATGTCGACATGCGCGGTCAGGCCCTGGTCAGGCCCTGGTGAAAGTCTTTGTATTCGAAGTCTCCATGAAAAAAAAGGCTTCCATTCACAAGCCCGAGCAACTCCCGGCACTGTAGTGCACTCCACTTCAAAGCACACCGTCGCCATGGTGCAGCCGCACGCAGTAGCGAGGTTTTGGGAGGGTTGGGAGGGACGGTCGTTCCACGGGAGGAGGAGAGCTGGCTGGGTGTGGGGGATGTTGACCAAGGCCTTGAGGATTGAAGTACACGTCCGGCATTCCTAAGATGTCTGGGTTTAAATGTGATCAAATATGATAGAGTTATATAGAGTTAACCATTCTCTTAGGGTGTTTCCGTAAGATCCGGGTGAAAGTGGTGAAACATGGTGAACCGCAACAAACTGTGGCCGTTCGATCTCCTACCCTCCAAGGTTTGAATCTCGGCCACTTGGTTTCTGGATTGCTGGCGGCTTGAGGACCTGAAGAAACCTGGCGGCTGAACCCAGATCGACTCACCGATTTCTTTTGGAGTCCAAACATGGATGAACCACGTATACAATTTGAGAATTTCTTGGTACTTTCCACACATACTAAGCCCGTTTCTTGGGCCGCGTAGCAGCGTAGCCGTCGCGCGCTTTCGGCCGCGTTTTCTTCGCGGCGCACTCCCGACCCGTTCGCCCGAATTTCGTTCCCCGCAGCGTCGGCTGGGCTGCATGGTGTACAGATGGGTTCAGGAACTTGAATCAGTCACTTTCGCATCGCGGATGTCAAGTAGCCATTGTCTGGATGAGGTCGCAAAACATGTGAGGTCGCAACAGGCGTGGCGCCAAGGGGCGCTGTATTCAAGTTTTGGCCACGAGGTTTCCTCAGCGTGGCTCCTCGGACTCTCCATTCTGAGGGACTCTGGACCCAAGTCGTTAAGCAAGCGGCTTAAGTGAGCTGCGCAAATTGGGCTGCTTGGAATTGCTGATCAAAACCTGAAAGAAATGCAACATGTTCCCTGTAGATCCTGTAGATCCTTCTAGTTGGAGGAATTCACCATTTCAGGGAGCATCACATGTCACCGCCTATGTTGGTCAGATTATGTTAGATTGCCAGGTCATCCCATAGAGGCTCTTTTGTCACGGCTGAAGCATGCTGAAGCTATAAACATCCACATGTGTTTTCCCTCCATCCCCGGTCAACTCGATTATTTACCCGATAAATGTTGGTGCCTCATGGTGCCTCGTCACTTGTTTCTATTGAAGGTCAGCCCTGCACAACAAATGATGCCTCCCCTCCGCCCCTCCCCACCCAGAAAGACTGGCATAAATTGCATAAACAGAAAAACAACAATGACAAAACAATATACAGTGTATTACATGTATATTACAGAACACAACTTGTTGAACGGTCAATGATGACCTCATTATATTCCTCTCATAAAGATAATCAACACAAACTCCGAAAGTGATCGCGGTCCATGTTGACCAAAACATCCTGGACTGTCTCAACTAGTTTGTTCTGCCAACGAGCTAGGTTCTCCTTTAGGTCGGACCGCTTTTTGAAACCTCTCGAGACTTCTGAATCAACAAGACCAATAATGTAGACTCGGCAAGATCAATAACCCACCCAACATGGAATGCAACATCTCTTCACATGAAGTGGTTGAAAATCATCAACAGTCTACACAGATGGACATTATATGGATAACCTCTACATCTATATGTAATAATATGTAATATACATATATACAAATATACTTTATAATACAATATAATATGCATGATACAGTACACAAGTCAAATCCTTGGGAGCTCTTCTCCTCGTTCCTCCGTCACCCGCCGACCTCCCAAGCGCCCCGACTATGCACCACCCAGCGCGGCCCGCGCGGCTTGACGCCGTGGAGAGGCAGTGGCGCGGGCGTCGCCGCGGCTGGCGGCTTCGGAGAGGTCGAGTCGCGCGGTCGGGGGCGAGTGAAGGGGTGTGCTGGTTCAAAAGGTTTTCAGTGCACTGGAATGTGTTTTGACTTTGAAGCTCTTCGAGATCTGAGACCGCGAGCTAGAGTGCACTGGAATAGACTTCTTAGAAGGCTTGGAAGTCCGTGAGCCGATGATCTCGATTAAATCGCATGGATGCTGGAGTGTTGAGGTGCCCCGACATGACCTTTGCAGCTCCGTGTTGAGGTTTTGAGGGCGGAGAACAAAACATGAAGGTTAACCTCCAATAGTGGGCTCCAAGAAACACCAACAAGGCAATTAGCTTAGCCATCAAGATTGGATTGCTTGCCGATGCGTTCGGAAAGCCGCTCGCTCACTTTTTGAGTAAGAAACAAATCATGTTCGAGGTAAATTGATGACCCTTCCTCGCTGGAGGCAAATGTTAGTAACAACACTAGTAACAAGTGGCATTTACTACGAACGTAACAAGGGCATCACTGCTGGCTGTCCACTTCCATGTTCATGACTTTGTTCGTGTAGACTCACGCATCGAAAGCCGAGATGGCCTCAGCACCACCATGGCCAACAAGAGCATCATAGGCCTCACAGGCGCAAAAAGGGGGCAGTTCCAAGGTTGACGGGTGTGGGATTCATCCAATGTGACTGTTTGGGTCTCGGTGGATTTGGTGCATGACGTGTTTATCCCTAACCCGACTGGGATAGACCATAAATATTTACATGTGAACCAAAATACATGAAAGGGCACTTTCAATGAGGTCAGGACAGGAACCCAGAAATGTCCATCTCTCGCAAACGGAACCCAGCCATCTCATCCTCAAACTCTGACCCTGGAGATGTGCATGTTTGATTGGGAGAACGAAATACACTTCAGACTGGAGCAGCTATATAACAACCAAGGCTATCACCGTCAGACCGACAATCTGCCCCTCAAGATCTGACTTGAGGACGGAGCTCATCTAGAAAAACAAGCGGTTCCAGGTGAAGGGCTGGGAAAACAAGTGTATTCGGGATTCATAATGACATAGTTTGTGCTTTTGGTTCCAGCTGGGTGCAATGATTGTGTCTCTCTTCATTCAACCGTAGGCTCTATATGAATAAACTTCTTGGATTTCAATGTTCAAGTTCAGTGTCTAGATGTGTGAGGGGACCCCAAGCACAACCACTGGGTCTTTCACCTGCCACTATGTATTGGGCCATGAGGGGATCCGCGATTCTGAGATGTAAATAGCCATGTATTGCCATGTATAGCCATCAAAGTAAGCTGGTGACCTCCTTCTTTGAATGGTTTGGCCCTGATGTTCAGCTTATCGTTGAAGCAACATCAAATGACACCATGAAAGTCATGAGCAACTCTATATATATAATATATAACTGTATAAATAATACTTAATTCTAACATATATCATATCAACTGATCCAATGCAAAGTCCCTGGAAAAAGACATCTCCTGCAAACCTAAAGTCGCATGCTTGCTACAGGTGTGAAGCCTAGGTAACTAGGTAATTGTTTGTCACAGGAAAGATCACTGCGTCCATAGTGCTGACGTCAAGTAGAATGTTGCCTCAGTCAGATCATCAGGAAGTTGAACCCTGGAAGGTTAGGCTACAGCTGCAGAACCAATTATATTGTATAAAATATGTATATAGCTTAATTCATGGACTTCGATTACTCATTCTGCTTCTGTTCATGGACAGAACGTTCTTGTCAACCTCACTTTCCAAGTGTTCAAACGCTGGAGAAGAAACCGACCTGAAAACCAAAACCAACTGACCTGAATGGGTCAAACATGGTCAAACCAATTCAGAACCTATCAAACTCACTCACATGGAAGTGCATGGCATGGCCCGTCGGAAGACCAGGGCCATGCCATCCTCCACTTCCGATGTGTTCGTTCCTTGGCTCTTCTGGGCCTTATCATGGCCATTGAATCCCAGATTCCACCATCTTCCGGGTCTCCAGGGTTTCGATTCCGGTCTATGGCTTTAGTCAGTTAAACCTGGGTTACCATGGAGGTCAAAAGTCGTACTAGAACTATGTCCTTTGGCCCCACTTCGACCTTTGTCTGGAAGCATGCTCACCTCCAAAAACCAATCGAAAAGGAGGTACCTGGACATACCTGGACCCTATGGGAAGCCTCTAGGTATTATCTCCAATTGGATGTTTGAATTCTCTTTGCATCTGGTATGCAGGCGAATTCTCCCCCTTTTGGGAGCACCGATCTGTTCTGCCCGACCTCGGTCCACCGGTCCGCGCGGGATTGCCCCGCGCCTGTGGTCCGTTGGGGTCTCTGAGTCCTGCTCCGCCGGCTCGTCTACTCAGCTGTGTGGAGGACCGAAGCTGAGTAACGCCGATGGAGGGTTACAGGGTAAAGGCAGAGATAGACAGGTTCTTTTGGGACTGAATCAAGGGGTATTAATATTATATGGTTGAATCCACTCACCATGGATCTACACTTATAAATTCACTCAGATTGCCACTCCCCATTACATCGCAAGAGTGTTTTGGGAACGCAATAATACTAATTTCAGTAGATCGCATCAAAGACCATTTCGGTGTAGATGAGGTAGACGACCCTATCATTTGGAGATTTTCTTGGGGCCGCCCTCCGCATTTCACCAGAGACTGCAATTTCGATGCCCCGGCCCCGAGACTGCAATCCTCTCGCCGGAAGAAGCGGGCTGAAGATTGAAGTTCCCCGTCCTCCAGAAGCTCCTGTACATCCTGCAAGAGTGTTCAAGTGGTTGTAATGGCAGCCAAGGTCAATATTTGATTTGAGAAGTACAGTTTTTTTCACGAAAGCGACAGAATACTTCATTCCACAGCGTAAGAGAGTAAGCCCTGCAGGTGCTGGTGTACTCTCTGATGTCTCAGCGCTGGTGATTCCATGATTTCTATATCACCTCAAGTTGCGCATCTTCAATGTCATCAACTCGCAATGACTGCCGAAGGGCACCTCCCTGCGGTCATCAGATGATTCCGCAGATGTAGCAATGGAAGATCTCAGATTGATAATTACATTGAACTCAAAACTCTGATGAAAACATTCTGGAAGGAGGTCCTATGTCTTCAAACAAGAATTTGACGAACAATTCAGCAGCGCCCCTTTTCCAAAGGACATTTCACATACTTCACTGCCAAAACCGTTCCGAGGGGTGGGGTACTGAATGGGGTACATTGTGACCAAGTTTTGGGAAGAGCCACAAAAGTTACTTATCACTTACCCAATGTCCTATCTTTCACTTTTGGCGACAAAGACTTGTG